TGCTTCCCGTATCTCACTTGACATAATGAGCATCAGTTCTATTCATGTGGTGGCAAATGGTAGCATTTTATTCTTTTTAACTGATACAACTGGGTGTATGCTCAGCTGCAAAATATTTAGGCTGTTCTAGCTCTTGGCCATTATAAAGAGTGATGAATGAGTAAGGGAATGCGGATGTCTCTTAGGCAAATGAATTTCTTTTCTTTGGAATTCCTGTATCATACAGTAGGTCTGTTTTTTGTCTTTTAAGGACCCTCATACTCTTTTCCACCATGGCTATACTAATTTGCATTCCCAGCAACAGTGCACAAATATTCCATTTTCTCCACATCCTCTGAGGCACTTATGCTTTGTCTTTTTGATGACAGCTGAGATAACTGGAGTGTTGTGATTGATATCTTACTGTGGATTTGATCTCCATCACCCTGATGATGTGATGTTAAACACTTTCTCATGTCCCTGGTGGTCACTTCTGTCTTCCTTGAAATAACTTCTACTTAGATTTGTGCATTTTATAATAGAATCATATTATTTTTTCTATTGATTTGAGTTTCTTACAGATTATTACTAATCCTTTCTCAATGTATACTTTGCAAATATTTCCTCCAATCTGTAAGGAGTCTCTTCACCCTTGTCTTTGTTTCGTTTGTGATGCAGAAGATTTTTAATTTAATGAAATCACATTTGATTAGGTTTGCTTCCTTTTCTATGCTTTTGGGCTCTGATGAAAATAATGATTGCCCTTTCCAATGTGGTGAAGAATTCCCTCTCTGTTTACCTCTACTAGTTCATAGTTTTAGGTCTTAAATTTAGATCTTTAATCCATTTTAGTTTATTTTTCTGCATGTTGAGAGATAGCCTCTAGTTTCATTCTTCTGCATATGATACCCAGTTTCCCCAAATGATTTTCACTGAAGAGACTATTGTTTTTCCAATGTACATTCTTAGCACCTTGACAAAGGCCACATGGCTATAAATATGTGGGTTTATTTCTAGGCTCTCTGTTCCTTTATATTTTTGAGGATTTACTTATTTCTTTGGAGGTGGAGTGAGAGAGAGAGAGAGAGAGAGAGAGAGAGATTTTTATCCACTGGTTCACTCCCCACGTGGCCATAAAGCCAGGGCTGGGCCAGGCCAAAGCCAGGAGCCTGAAACTCCATCTGGGCCTCCTAGCTGGGTACAGGATCTCAAGGACATAGTCAATACTCAATGCTGGCACATTAGCAGGGAGCTGAAACAGAAGTGGAACATCTGATATTTGAACTGGCACCATAAAGGATGCTGGCATTGCTGAAAGCAGCTTAACCTACTGCACACCAATGTTGACCCCTGCTCCTTTGTTGTATGTGCTTTTATGATAATATCATGCTGTTTTACTCACCAGAACTCTGTAGTATATTTTAAAGTCAGGTAGTTCCACTTTTCACTCAAGATTACTTTGGCTCTGTACATCTGAGTAGTTTTTCTATTTTTTTGAAAATGATATATATATATATATATGGATTATATTGAATCTGTAAGTCACTCTGGGTAGCATGAACATTTTAACAGTGAACACACTGACACTGAGCAGGTAGCTTGGGTCTGGAAGGCACAGTTCAGCAACTCTTCTTACCCCTGGACCCAGCTGCTGACAGCTTTGGAGCATGAGCTATGAGAAATGCTTGCACTTCAAACCTAGGTATCTTTATTGCCTAAAATGCCACTCAACACCAGTGTCCTTGTGAATTGTACATTTTTCAATTTGTTTTATTTATTAGGCTTTGGCCATGCATCAGACACTAAGATGCAAACTAGAAAGACATCACCCTCACCTGTGACTTTAGAGAGTGAAGAGATAAACGCAATGAGTGGTAGCCGCACATTAAGTGTCAAAAATAACCTAAAGCAAGGGTGAATATGATGGCTCTGCAGTTTCACTGAGATCCCAAGAAGCTTCATGACTCACACTCCTGGTGAGAACTTTCTAGAAGGGGCAGCAAGTGCTGTTTGGGGAACTCAGGATGGGGCAAAGGGAGTGTAGAGGGCACTTGGGTAGGTTCATGGACACAAGTGGGTGTCAATGGAATGAGGAAGCTGATGGTGCATCCTGAATAGAATGTGACATGGGGAACACTCATTCCATAGGGTCCCTGGACACTGTGGTCCCTGTGTCAGGGAAAGGTTAGCAGTTACAGCAGGTGAGCAAAAGGGGGCTGAGACAAGAGGAGGTGACAGGTAGGAAGGTGTTGGAATGGAGACTGTGAGGGATCCATAACTAAGAGCATCCTTGGTGATGCCTGAACAACTGTCAGTCAAAGGAGCAGGCCTTCTGGTGAGAATCAGGTGCTACCTCACATCCCTGAGGGGCTGTGTGCCTGAGCCCAGGACATAAATGGGTCTGGGGTTATTAATGACAGGGCCAGGTTTGAAGGAGCAGATAAGGGTAGCCTAGTGCCATGGTGGCAGGGGCTGGAGTGAAACATTACCCTGACTCACTTGTTTCTTCTGCTGGGCTCATAAAGATGGAGGAGGTGGAGATGACAGATTGAACCCCACACACACAACCTGACATCCCACAGAATGGAAGTGACCTTCCTCAGGTGAGTCCAACCACCTTTCTCCTAAATGGCCCTAACCCTAGGTTATATATCAGCAGGACAAAGTCAGGCAGCTGCCACGTGACCTTGGGTGAGACTAGACAGACCTTTCATTCCCTGGTCACCCAGCAGCTTGGGGGCACCTCATCAGCATCATCCAGAAGGACTGCTCTGAGGAGGCTACCTGCACCCCCCATCTGAGGTTGAGCTTAATCATGGGGCTGCAAACTCTGCCAACCTCCATCTGTACCCCTAGAATGTCCCAGAGAAGTGTGGTGGAGAAACTGGGGAGCATCCACAGCAACTCTGAGGATTTACTGGCATATACAGTGATCTGGAGGAGTACAGCATTAGGGGAGCCTGAGCTGCATTCCCTGGTGGTCTCCCCAGCACCCAACTCTCCCAGGTGCTCCTGCCCCCACCACTCTTGCCATGCATTATTGTCAGCATTGGCTCCAGTATTACCTGCATATGTGTCAAGTACCTGTGCTGAAATCACAGTGTTTCATCTCTTAAACCCTCACCTGCAACCAGGGCAGGGGCTCTGTTCCTCCCACAGGCAGACTAGATGGGGTCGACACAGGACCCAAAGAAGGCCATGCTCAGCCATCTGCTCCCTTCTCTGTCATCCCGGGAAAACTCTGGTGACCAATGCTGACAGCACCACAGAGGAACAGGACAGGAGCAGAGTGGAAGGACACAGAATGGATCAGCAGGGTTGAGACCTGTCCTGTGCCGGAAGTTTGTAGCCTTAGGAGTCCCCAGTTCTACTTACTGCAGGGGTGGGCACAGACTGAACTCAGGGATCTGGGTGAGGTGTGTATGGGTGGACTCATTGCACTAACTGAAATTCAGAATGTCAAGGCTTTGAAAGTTGTTACAAGTGGTAGCATTATGGCATAGCAGATTAAGCTACTGATTGGGAAACTGGCATCCAATATTGAAGGGCTGGTTTGAACCCTGGCTGTTCCACTTCCAATTCAGCTCCCCACTAATGTGACTGGGAAGGTAGCAGAGGATGACCCAAGTACTCAAGTTCCTGCCATCCATGTAAGAGTCCAGAATGCCTGGCTGAGACCTAGTTGTTGCAGCCATATGAGCACTAAACCAGAGGTTAGAAAAATCTCTCTCTCTTTCTCTCTGTTGCTGTGATTTGCAAATAAAACATAATAATAATAATAATAACATTGTTACAAAACAGAGGTGTATTAAAGGAAGAGGACAGGATACAGTTAGAGCCCTGCAGAAGGTTGGGATTTATTGAGCAGGTGACAGAGGGTGGTGGCAGAGCTGGGTCAAGGCACATTTGCCACACTTCTTCCCTCTTTCCTGAGCCCTGGAAAGACCACAGAAGCCCTTTGTAGGGGGTTTTGTTTCTGAGGTTGAGCAGGCTGACACTCTGCCTTCCTGACCTGGGAGGGCACCTCTGGGACAGGGCTGGTATAACTCCACAATGCTACCATTACCCAGAACCCCCTCTTTCCATGTTCTGTGGCAGTTAGAAGTCACCAGTGTGTCCAGTAACTGACTGGCCTGGGGTTCATTTTTTAAACAGGAGGCATGTTTGGCAGAGCAGGATGGATCCAGTATCCACATGAGTGGCACTTGTTCTCTGCATGTCCTGCTGACCTGGGGACATTTGCTTCCAGGTGGGTGGCCCTGGCCTCTCTGGGCTGCTGCTGAGGGTGATGCTGGCTGAAACTTCAGTGGTGCTCATTGTGTGCCGACCATGGATACAGTCATGTCGTTGCTTCCTTAGAGTGACCATGGAGGGTGGATGCCTATGTGCCCTGGGTGTGAGCCTGTGTCAGGACACGGAGGTCTGGGTAGGCAGTATGGTGAGCACAGGAATTCATGTGTGGGGTGAGCCCATCTGTGAACTTACCAGGCATGTGGTTCCCACAGCCAGGAGTGGGGTGGGAGCCTTCTGCACAGGTGCAGTGATGGTCATTGAAGGACAGCTGGATGGCCAAGGAGAATGAAGAGTGACCTTCCTAGGGAAGTGGGGTGGGGACTATTCATTGTCCCTGCACTCTGCACAGTTCACCATTCTGTGACCTGGGCATCAGTCACTCTGTCTGTGGGGTTGACACCGCCTCTGATCTGATGGACAGGAGCTGTGGGGAGCAGTTCCCTGTGGTTCTTTGGGGTTGTGCCATGAAAGGTTTTTGCCTTTTAGCTTCAAGGAGCTGTGGGCCCTAGAGATCTGGCTGGCCCAGCAGGCAGCACACATCACTGTGGAATGTGAGCAGTTACAGAACTGGAGGCTGTATATGGATGAGCTGGGGATCTGCCTCATGTACTGCCCCCATGGGGCAGGGTCATGGGCTTCCTCAGGACACAGAACACCAAGGGGCTGCCCTGGTTCAACCAGTTCCTGAGTGTCCATGGCCTCTCACCAGGTCCCCCCCCCCTTCATTGCAGAGTCACCATGGAGGGGCCTGGGGAAGAGCAGCAGTGAGCCACTGCCTGGCCCTACAGAGGCTGTGGATCTTGCAGCGAGTCTTCTGTCCCCATTTTGTCCCAGGAGAGGGGTCATTTTCAGAAACTCATCCCTTGAAGCAGGACAGGTGTTTATCTGTTTGAGAACTTGCCCCCAGCTACCATCACCATGCTCACCCTGGTCAGCATTAGGCCAGAGCTGAGTGACTTACAAGCAACTCAGGGGACTGGTAGGGACAGAGTTGAGGTAGAGCAGGTGCTGAGAGCTCAAGGATTCACAAGGAGAGGGGGCAGCCTGCAGGGCCTCCTTGTCCCTGGTGGAGCCAGACCAGTTCAGCAACATTCCAGAGCATGCATCCACGGGGTGAGGGGCACATTGCCTGGCCTGTGGGCAGGTGTCCAGCAGATCCCTGGGTCCCAGGGGGTCAGGCTAAAGGCCTCTTGTAGAAAGGCCCAAGGAACAGCCACGGCTGTGGAATCTGGGTCTAAGAAGCTGCCCAGGGACCCATCTCAGGGAGAGCAGGACAAGCGGGTTTGCAGTTCACAATGTCCTGCCCTTGGTTCTGTGCTGGGAGGAGGACCTGTTGTGGAGGAGGCAGGAATGAATCTGTTCGCACCATCATCCCAGGACTGGACAGAAGCACGGAGACTGGAAGGTGGGCTCAGTAGAGCACTTGGAACAGTGCCCCAGGGGATTTTTCTGGAAATGTATCAAAAACCCACCTTTATTGATGGATGACTTAGGTGTTGCAAGCCATGTAGGGGAGAGGGGGAGGTATCTTGCTTGAGTATCTGACAGGACTCGGAGCAAAGGAATGGCCATGGCCAGTGTGACCATTGTCACAGTTTCTGGGACCAACAAGGAAGGAAGACAATGCACTTCTGGGATACAGAAGATGCAGGTGGACAAGGGGGCATCCTCTAAGGGATGTGGAGGCACCAGGATGGTGGGTGCCTAGGTGAAGGCTCTCAGCAGCAAGCAGTTCTTAGGCCAGGCCCCCAGGCCCTGTCACTTCAGGTCAAGGTCACTTCAGGGAACAGCTGCTGTGAGGGCAGAACCCACCTACTCCTGGGAAATCCACCCCTCTCAGAATAGTCCTCACTAAGCTCTAGCAGAGACTGATGACTTCTGCCCAGAAAAGGCAGCAGATGGCAAGTCCAGAGCCCCTCCCACAGACAAGGAGTGTCCTGCTGGCCTTTTCTCCCCCATGCTCACAGCCCTTCATAGATGTCCACTTGCTAGACCACTGCCTCACCCCTGCCCTTATCAGTCTTGTAGGCTGAGGCTTGGGCTGGATGAAGATGACACTGGCCCTTCCCTGGCTCTATGCAACAGTGGACAATTCTCAGCCTAGTGCAGATCCTCAGGGCTCTGCCTCCCAGTGAGAAGATGCTGACCTGTGACAGTGCCCTGAGGTTGAAGGTAGGGACCCATCTTTGAGAGTGGGTGTCATCTGTGGGCAGCCCGTGGGTTTGGGTTATGGTGAAGGGGAGCACCACACACTCCTCCAGGGACAACAGTTTCTGTCAGACCTTTTGGGTGCCTGACCAAACTGACTTCTCAGAACTGACCAGTAGCTCAGGGGTTTCTGCCATTGGCCCCCAGCATGCAACCTGGGGCTGGGATCCAACTAGAGGCCCTGGTCTGAAGATAGAGTGTCCTGTGGTCATAAAGATGAGGCCACAGACACTCACCCAATCAGAAGATCCAGGGCCTCAGGGTCTGACTCCTTCAAGTTCAGTCATATTAGGGCTCCTATACTGCCTCTAACGGCCATTGCAGAAAGGCCAGCAACTAGATTCACACAATCTTCTCTCCCTTCTCAGCCGTGAGACTCACATACTCGAAAATGCATAAAGATGTTGAAGAACTGGAGCAAATATCAGAGTAATAGCAAGGTAAGGAGGAGGTTGAGGGCCCCCTTATGACAACTTCCTGCAGGGTTGGTGCAAGTAGGGCCTATTTCCAAGGCAGAGCACTGCCTGTCTCTCAGATGGCTAGAGGTAATGGTTCTCACCCTGAAGTCTTCTTGCCCATCCCCCACAGGGTCATCTTATAGAGAGGGATAATGATTTCACTATTTGGGTCACCACTATGTCCAGGGTTGGGATGCCTCCTGGTGCTCCAAAAGAGTGAATCCACTGGGAATGAAGCCCATGCCTTCCAAGAACTGTGGGTGAGGAGGCCAGAGTCCAGGCAGGGCTAACCTCTTCCAAGACACCATGGAGCCCAGGGCTTCCATGTTCCAAGTGCCTCAGGCTTTTCTCCACCCCATCCTATTCCATCCCTGGGGCCTTGTCTCACCTAAGCTTCTCCTTTCCTGTAGTTGTGTCCCAAGACACACATGAGGGTCACTGCCCAGGTGTGGGGAAGAAGTCAACACTGCTGCTGGACTTGAACAAGGTAAAGACTGAGAGTCCAGGAAAAAGCAGGTACGGGCCCTCTACCTACTCTCATACAGGTAGCACTAACAAGCCAGACACTGTCATAGCCAAAGTCTCCCTTCTGTTGTAAAGTGCAGCACAAGGGAGGCCAATACTCCCAGGGTCTCCTCACTGACCTGCCTTCCTTTCTGTGGAACCTCCTCCAGCCCCTTCTCAGACTCTCCCGGACTTGGCTGGCCCTGGGTACTCACACTCCATGACAGACAGCCTGCCTCTCTCCCTGATGGCTGTTCTGTGAAGCTTGGCCCAGCATAGACACCAGGCACAAGAACAGATACATGATTCCTTGAGGCTAAAGTCACATGTGGGAGAGGGTTTAGGGGTACTCTGGGATAAGCTAGCGTCCTGGAGATAATGGTAATCCTGAGAGAGGTTAGGGGTCTTGGGAGAGTTGTGGGAGTCCTGGAAAGGATCAAAGGTCTGGAAGATGTGAGTAACACCACATACTCAAAGTTCTCCCAGCACAAAGATCAGTCATCATCATATCCTGAGAAGCTATGGGGTACAAAGCCCCAACTGGAGGAGTTAGGACCAGGACATTCACTAATAGAGAATGAGAGCAGCAAGCAAAGCAATGCTGCCCAAAGCAAGGTGCTCTGGAAGATTTGTGTGGATCTGGGGAAGAGACTTTCTGTGTGGACATCAGGACAAGGGACTCCTGGGTGCCAGCATGGAAGCTGAGACCTAGAGTGTGATGTGGAGGTGGTCATGGGAAGAGTGGAGAGACAGAGTGGGGGTCCTGGGGCAGGCAGGTGGGAAGGAGCCTCAGAGTGTTAGGGTAAAGTAGAATGGAAACCCCTGAGGTGAGGGTAGAGACCAGGCCTAGAGAGACAGGGTTATGCTTGTGCTTTAACAGGTGTCCTGGAGAGCAGAGCTTGGAGAGATGAGGCCATGGGAAATCTCAGCCACCTGGAGGCTGTGAGAAGGGCCAGAGTGCAGAGTGAGGGGTCTATCCTGACCAAGAGCTAGCCGGGAACAGAATCAGGTTGGACTAGGATATGCAGGGAATGAATTGAGGGTAGGTGCCATCCAAATTATGCCCTATTTTACTACTTGTGATCTCATATGCCTGCCTTTTGTACTTTTTGACTATTTCAATCTATCACAACAGTCAGGAATGAATAATGTAACAAACCCCAAATTCCATCCCCACAGTTCCCACAGGTACCTGAAGCAGTCTCTCGTCCCAGGTTCACACACACACACACACAGTGACAAATAACCTAAAACAAAGCCAAATGCATCTGTAGATATCTCAGTGTGCATTAATAAGTTAGCATTGTTTTTTAAACACGAGCATCATCACCCTTCAAACATTGGTATAATCCTACAATATCCAGTCAGTATTAATATCTACTCAACTGCCTTCCAGTCTCTATCTATTCCATCCCAAAGTGGAGATTTTATGTAGAGGAGCTAGTAATAAGCAAGTAAAGTAAAAACTTTCAAAAATGCTTTAAATAATGACAATTACCATTGTGCCACTAAAAATGCTATACTGAGTTATAAATTCAACAAAATGTTAGGTTATCAGTCTGCAGAAAATTACAAATCACTCATAACAGAGATAAAAGATCTAAATAAATGCAGAGTTGGACTATGTTCTATGGTTAAGAAGGCTCAGTACTGCTATCAGCTTTGCCCACTTTGTTGAGTGGATTCAACCCAAACCCAGTCCAGGTCTCAGCAAACTTTTCAGTAGACAATGCCAAGTTGATTCTGCAATGGACATGGAAAGCAAAGGGTCTAGAATAGCTAAAACAATGCTTATGCTAGGAGATATGTTGGAAGACTCACTTCTTTTTAGATTTTTCTACTATACAAGTACAGAGAAAAAGACAGGGCTGTGTTAAAGAAATGAAAGATGCATAGATCTATGGGAGAAAATGGAGAAATTGTTTCTCCAATTCAAGTGATCTTTGACCAAGGGGCCAACAGAACTCAACGGATCCGAGTTGGTCATTTTAACAAATGATACTGAAATGATCTGGCACCACTATGCAAAGCAAAACACCAAATTTTCAATACATACCTCTAGAAAACTAATTTAAAATGGATCATGGGTCTAATTAACTATGAAATCATAAATATTCCATGAATATACAGGATACCACTTCAATATCATGATGAGTGTTTGTACAGATTCAAAAGCATATTCCAAGAATGACAGAGAAAAAATGATCAATGGAACTTTATCGCTTTCACTCTGCCAAATATATTGTAAAGAGAATAAGTAAAAGGCTACAGAATGGGTTATGATTAGGGAGTGGGAGAAATACATATTTTATAAAAATTTATCTATTTGAAAGGTGGAATTACAGAGAGGCAGAGGCAGAGAGACAGAGGTTTTCCATCTGCTGGTCCATTCCTAAGATGGCCACAATGTCTGGAGCTGCTCCAATCCAAAGCCAGGAGCCAGGAGGTTCCACCAGGTCTCCCATGGGGGTTCAGGGGCCCAAGGACTTGGGACATGTTCTATTGCTTTCCCAGGTTGTAGCAGAGAGCTGTATCGGGAAAGGAGCAGCCTGGACTCGAACAGGAGCCCATATGGGATGCTGGTGTTTCAGGCAACCAGGCAGCAGCTTTACTTGCTACTCCACAGTGCTTGGCCTGGCAGAAAATACTTACAAAATATACAGCTAATGAAGGACTTGTATCCATATTATACACTGAACAATTAAAATTTAATGAGAAGGGGCTAGCACAGTAGTTCAATAGGCTAAGCCTCTGCCTGTAGTGCCAGCATCACAAATTGGCACTAGTTGGTGTCCTGGCTGCTCCTCTTCCAAACTGGCTCTCTGCTATGGCCTAAGAAAGCAGTAGAAGATGGCCCAAGTGCTTGAGCCCCTGCACCCATGTGGAAGACCTGGAAGAAGCTCCTGGCTCCTGGCTTAGGATTGACTTAGCTCTGGACGTTGCAGCCATTTGGGGAATGAAACAGTGGATAGAGGATCTTTCTCTCTGTCTCTCTCCTTCTCTGTCTGTAATTCCACCTCTCAAAAAATAAATAGAATCTAAAAAATTTTTAATGAGGAAAAAGGTGACCCCTCCACCCTACAACTGGCACAGTATATAAAAGGACACTACCTCCAACAAGCACAAGAAAATAGTATACTGAGTGTTAACAGCATGATGAAATATCATGGCAAGTCTATTTGAGTAAAATCAACAGAACTAGTAGTAGTAAATGTTGAAAAAAATGTGGAGTAACAGAAACATGCATTTACTGAAGGAAGGAATTCAAAACAGAACAGGAACCTGTAAGAATATTTGACAATTTCTTACAAAAGCACACAAACAGTATCAGACTCCAAATGTGAATCTCTATGCACTCAATTGACTTGGAAAAAAAGCACACATAAAAACTGCATGCCATATTCACTGTCCTATTCACAATCACTAAAAACTGTAAACTGGATGATCTTCATGAGGGATGAATATGCAAGCTGTACCAGATCCATAATGAGGAACAGGATTCAGTGAGAAAGAGGAACAAGCCATGAAGTCATGTGATGACCGGGCTGAATTTCAGGTACATTTTTCTAAGAGCAAGAAGCCATACCCTAAAAGCTACATGCTGATTCAACTCATAGGGCATTCTGGGAAAAGGCCAAACAATAGATACAGAGAACACACAAATGAATGGTTGTCAGTGCCCAGTGGATTTCAGAGTTTGACTGCAAAGGGCCACACAGAGATGTTATAGGCAAAGGAGCTGCTACTTCAGTTGTTGGACTGGTGGTTAGGAGACACTCACATGAGGGTTCAAACCATTGGTGGTTAGGAGACACTCCCATGTGGGTTCAAATCACTGGTGGTTAGGAGACACTCTCACAGTGGTTCAAACCATTTATGGTTAGGGACACCCATGTGGGTTCAGACCCTTGCATCTGTACCTCCCACACACTGCTCATATAGATAAAAAAAATGCACCCAATGTGCACCTGAGGTTCATTTCATTATATGTAGATTTTACCCCAAAGCTCAACAAATGTCAATGTTCCCTGAAGGTCTCACTCTTTGTTGGTAGATGGTCACAATAGGACTTTAGTGCTTCTCTCAGAGCTTGTTAGACCTCAGCAGAAAACTGGGCAAACTGTCTTTTCTATATTTCCCAGGAGGCAAGTCTCATTTCCTGTGATCTTGGTGTATTCTGCCTATGGCACTGTGAGTATTCCAGATGAGATTCCCAGGCTATACTCCAGTTAGGAGGTCTTATGCCGCAGAGATGCAATCAAAACATGGGAGCTGTCTAATGCAAAACTGAGACAAAAGGAATAGATGTCCAAGCAAGAGGCCTCCCTGGACCTGGTCACATGTTGTTAAGAAGTGGCACATTCCTCCTGAACCTGCATCAACCCCACAGGCTTGGCAGTGTTGGAGGATGTTTCTCTAGCTAGGTATATGTCAACATACTTTGCCAGGATCCTGAAACTTGAGTCTGGATCCTGTAGATCTCACCATATTTATCACAGTTCACAGGGAGTCCTTGAATCTGAATTTCACTCCTTAAGAAAGCCAGTGCCCAAACCTTCCCTTTCAAACCCTTCCCTTGAGGGGGACAGCTGAGGGTATCTATAGTCAGTCCTGGGTCTTTGCAATCTCCTGAGTTACAGCCAGCTAACCTTCCAAATGCATTGAATTTATGGCTGCAAGGGGCCCTGGGCTGCAATCAAGGTCGTTTCATAACTTGTTTGTTCCCATGGCTCTGGCTGGCCATGCTAAGGTGCTTCTTCCTTGGGGGTTGTGACTTCAAAGTGCAAGGCTCAAGGCCTGCCATAGGTGTGGTGCCTGGACTGGCACAATGGCCTCCTAGGTCCTGGCCTCTGGGAAGATTAGGTCACCCTTAGTTCTGTCCTTACACCCCAGGCAACCTGAGTGCAGGCTTAGGAGGAGTCTCCCTGGGGTCATTGAATATAGGCAAGTACTCCTACTCTTGAGGTCCAGTGGCATAGGAGGTTGAGCCCAAGCCTAAGTCTGAGCTTCCCTAAGGCCTCTGGTAGGTCACATTAGCTCCCCAGATGAGATCAGCTTTTCCAGATGAAGCCAGTGTCTTTTTCAGGTGAGATGAGACCTTCCAGGTAAGCTTGAGCCTGCCAGGTGATGCTTGGCCATGATGACTTTGGCTCTTGCAGGTAATAGAGTATTGCCAGAACAAGAATGATGTGGCAGCCCTTCTCCTCATGTACATGGATGAGGACACTGCATTCTGGGCCCAGGCACGCATTGTATAGTAGGTACATGATGGTGATATGCTTTCTTTCCACCAGGCTGAATTATGGCCAAATGCCTAGCTGAATGCACCTTCCAAACCCTCCTGGCCCTTGTATGTCCAAGACAATCTTCTTAAGGATGGTCCCACAGCAGAAAGAGCTGGCAGAGATGCCCCTACTGTGAGTCAGAGTCTTTATCTCCCCATTAGCCAAGGGAGCTATGTTCTGTCTGTGGCCAACCTCTGAGTTCCTCACCCATACTCCTCAGGACTTCTCCAGACGATACTTATGGACCTGCTGACCCTTCTGCCTCACTTTTCTCCAGTCAATGAACTCAAGGCCAGAGCACATCCAGATGGTAGGGTCCCCTATTCTAGGTCCCCTTAGCCTGACTTGCAAATCCAATCAATACAATCCTCCACCCAGCTCCCACCCCAATCTCCATGACAGCCACCTACAGACCAAGTGAGATCCATGTTGTCCCTCAACAGCACCTACCTGCCTCCTCTGTTCCTTTGTCCTGACCAAATATCTTGGCTGCTTTAATGGGTGAGCTCCCTGCCTCCTTGTCCTGTTGCTTTTCTGGAAGACTCTTTCTCTGCCACTGCCTGGGAACAGCTCCTGTCTGCTAAATGATCCTCACTGTTACTGATGCTGAAGGTGCAGACAGAGGACACAGGGATGTTGTACCTGATGACTGGCCAGGGAATGCAAGTGTTCCAACTCACAACAGGTTGGGGACCATCTGACATTTTAGCCTCACTGCTGATGGTGCTTGGAGTGGATACGGGGGACATGGGCTGTTGTACCTGAGGACTGGCCCTGGAGTATAGGTGCTCCTCCCTTTTTTTCAATACCCCACTTTTATTTTTTTAACTTTTATTTAATGAATATAAATTTCCAAAGTACAGCTTATGGATTACAATGGCTTTTACCCCCCCATAACTTCTCTCCCATGCGCAACCCTCCCCTTTCCCACTCCCTCTTCCCTTCCATTAACATCAAGATTCATTTTCAATTATCTTTATATACAGATCAATTTAGCATATATTAAGTAAACCTTTCAACAATTTGCACCCACACAGAAACACAAAGTGAAAAATACTGTTTGAGTACTAGTTATAGCATTAAAGCACAATGTACAGCACATTAAGGACAGAGATCCTACATGAGGAGTAAATGCACAGTGACTCCTCTTGTTGACTTAACAAATTGACACTCTTGTATAAGGCGTCAGTAATCACCCTAGGCTCTTGTCATGAGTTGACAAGGCTATGGAAGCCTTTTGAGATCACTGACTCTGATTATATTTAGACAAGGTCATAATCAAAGGGGAAGTTCTCTCCTGCTTTCAGAGAAAGGTACCTCCTTCTTTGATGACCTGTTCTTTCCACTGGGATCTCACTCGCAGAGATCTTTCATTTGGGTCATTTCATTTTTTTTTCCCAGAGTGTCCTGGCTTTCCATGCCTAAAATACTCTCATGGGCTCTCCAGCCAGATCCAAATGCCTCAAGGGCTGATTCTGAGGCCAGAGTGATGTTTAGGACATCTGCCATCTGCCATTCTGTGAGTCTGCTATATATCTCGCTTCCCATGATGGATCATCCTCTCTTTTTTATTCTATCAGTTAGTATTTGCAGACACTAGTCTTGTTCATGTGATCCTTCTGACTCTTAGTCCTATCATTATGATCAATTGTGAACTGAAACTGATCACTTGGACTAGTGAGATGGCATTGGTACATTCCACCTTGATGGGATTGAATTGGAACCCCCTGGCACATTTCTAACTCCACCATTTGGGGCATGTCAGCTTGAGCATGTCCCAAATTGTACATCTCCTCCCTCTCTTAATCCCACTCTTATATTTAACAGGGATCACTTTTCAGTTAAGTTTCAACACTTAAGAATAATTGTGTGTTAATAACAGAGTTCAAACAATAGTATTAAGTAAAACAAAAAAAAAATACTAAAAGGGATAAAATAGTAAGTTGTTCATCAACAGTCAGGGCAAGGGCTGATTAAGTCACTGTTTCTCATAGTGTCCATTTCACTTCAACAAGTTTCCTTCTTGGTGCTCGGTTAGTTGTCACCAATCAGGGAGAGCATATGATATTTCTCCCTTTGGGACTGTCTTATTTCACTCAGCATGATGTTTTCCAGATTCCTCCATTTTGCTCCAAATGACTGGATTTCACTGTATTTTACTGCTGTATAGTATTCTATAGAGTGCATGTCCCATAATTTCTTTATCCAGTCTACTGTTGATGGGCATTAGGTTGATTCCATGTCTTAGCTATTGTGAATTGAGCTGCAATAAACATTAAGGAGCAGACAGCTTTTGTGTTTGCCAATTTAAACTCCTTTGGGTAAATTCCAAGGAGTGGGATGGCTGGGTTGTATGCTAGGATTATATTCAGGTTTCTGAGGAATCTCCAGACTGACTTCCATAGTGGCTTGACCAGTTTGCATTCCCACCAACAGTGGGTTAATGTCCCTTTTTCCCCACATCCTCGCCAGCATCTGTTGTTGGTAGATTTCTGCATGTGAGCCATTCTAACCGAGGTGAGGTGAAACCTCATTGTGGTTTTGATTTGCATTTCCCTGATTGCTAGTGATCTTGAACATTTTTTCATGTGTCTGTTGGCCATTTGGATTTCCTCTCTTGAAAAATATCTATTGAGGTCCTTGGCCCATCTCTTGTTTGTTGTTGTGGAATTTCTTGATTATTTCTTAGTTATTAACCCTTTATCTGTGGCATAGTTTGCAAATATTTTTCTCATTCTGTCGGTTGCCTCTTCACTTTCCTGTTTATTTTGCAGTACAGAAACTTCTCAATTTGATGCAATCCCAAATGTTAATTTTGGCTTTGACTGCCTGTGCCTCAGGGGTGTTTCCCAAGAAGTCTTTGCCGGTCCCAATATCTTTCAGGGTTTCTCCAATGTTCTTTAAGAATTTGATGGTGTGTGTCAGGTCATAGATTTAGGTCTTCATTCCATGTTGAGTGGGTTTTTATGTAAGGTGCAAGGTAGGGGTCTTGCTTCATGCTTCTGCACATGTATATCCAGTTTTCCAAGCACCATTTATTGAATAGACTATCCTTACTCCAGGGATTGGTTTTGGATCTTTGATAAAATATAAGTTGGCTGTAGATGTTTGGGTTGATTTCTGGTGTTTCTATTCTGTTCCATTGGTCTATCCATCTGTTTCTGTACCAGTACCATTCTGTTTTCATTACAACTGTCCTGTAGTATGTCCTGAAATCTGGTGTTGTGATGCCTCCAGCTTTGTTTTTGTTGTACAGGTTTGCTTTAGCTATTCGAGGTCTCCTGTGTCTCCATATGAATTTCAGCATCATTTTTTCTAGATCTGAAAAGAAAAGAATGTGTTTGGTATTTTGATTGGTATGGCATTGAATCTATAAATTGCTTTTGGGAGAATGGACATTTTGATGATATTGATTCTTCCAATCCATAAGCATGGAAGATTTTTCCATTTCTTGGTATCCTCTTCTATTTCTTTCTTTAAGGTTTTGTAATTCTCGTCGTAGAGATCTTTAACGTCCTTGGTTAAGTTTATTCCAAGGTATTTGATTGTTTTTGTAGCTATTTTGAATGGGATTGATGTTAGAAGTTCTTTCTCAGCTGTGGCATTGCCTGTGTATACAAAGGCTGTTGATTTTTGTGCATTGATTTTATATCCTGCCACTTTGCCAAACTCCTCTATGAATTCCAATAGTCTCTTAGTAGAGTTCTTTGGATCCCCTAAATAAAGAATCATATCATCTGCAAAGAGGGATAGTTTGAGTTCTTCCTTCCCAATTTGCATCCCTTTAACTTCTTTTTCTTTCCTGATGGCCCTGGCTAAAACTTCCAGAACTATTTTGAATAGCAGTAGTGAGAGTGGGCATCCCTGTCTGGTACCAGATCTCAGTGGAAATGCTTCCAACTTTTCCCCATTCAGTAGGATGCTGGCTGTGGGTTTTTCATAAATTGCTTTGATTGTATTGAGGAATGTTCCTTCTATACCCAGTTTGCTTAGAGTTTTCCTCATGAAAGGGTGTTGTATTTTATGAAATGCTTTCTCTGTATCTATTGAGATAATCATATGGTTTTTCTTCTGCAGTCTGTTAATATGGTGTATCACATTGATTGTTTTGCGCACATTAAACCATCCCTGCATACCAGGGATAAATCCCACTTGGTCTGGATGGATGATCATTCTGATGTATTGTTGTATTCTCTTGGCCAGAATTTTATTGAGGATTTTTGCATCTATGTTCATCAGGGATATTGGTCTGTAATTCTCTTTCAATGCTGCATCTTTTTCCAGCTTAGGAATTAAGGTGATGCTGTCTTCACAGAAAGAATTTTGGAGGATTCCCTCTTTTCTGATTGTTCTGAATAGTTTGAGGAGAATTGGAGTTAGTTCTTTAAATGTCTGGTAGAATTCATCAGTGAATCCATCTGGTCCTGGGCTTTTCTTTGTTGGGAGGGCCTTTATTACTGTTTCAATTTCTGTCTCAGTTATGGGTCTATTTGGGATTTCTATGTCTTCATGGCTCAATTTAGGTAGATTGCATGTGTGCAGGAATCTATCCATTTCTGATAGGTTTCCCTGTTTGCTGGCATACAAGTCCTTGTAGTAACTTCTGATGATTCTTATTTCTGTGGTGTCTGTTGTTACATTTCCTATTTAATCTCAGATTTTATTGATTTGGGTCTTTTCTTTTTTTAGTTAGTTGGGACAATGGGTGTCAATTTTGTTTATTTTTTCGAAAAAGCAGCTCTTAATTTGGCTGATTTTTTGTAATTTTTTATGGATACAATCCTGTTGATTTCTTCTCTGTTTTTAATTATTTCTCTTCTCCTACTAGATTTGGGTCTGGTTTGCTGCAATTTTTCTTGATCCTTGAGATGAATCTAAAGCTCCTTTATTTGGCGCCTTTCCAATTTCTTGATGTAGGCACCTATTGCTATAAACTTTCCTCTCAACACTGCTTTTGACATATTCTATAATTTTTGATATGTTGTGTCTTTATCCTCATTTACTTCCAGAAAGTTTTTGATTTCTCTTTTGATTTCTTGAATGACCCAGTGTTCATTCAGGAGCATGTTGTTCAGTCTCCATGTGTTTGCATACTCTCTAGGGATTCCTGAGTTGCTAATTTCCAACTTCATTCCACTTTGAGCTTCTGGTGATCTCTTAATGGAATTTTTTTTCCTTTACCTTCTTTCATATTGATTGCCATGTTTCTGTGTTTCTGTTTATAGCACTTCTTTAAGCATCTTTTGCTGGGCTGGATGAGTGGCAACAAATTCTTTGAATTTGTTTGCTATGAAAGGTCTTTATTTCACCTTCATTCACAAATGAGAGCTTTGCAGGATATAATATTCTGAGCTGGCCGTTTTTCTCTCTTAGTACCTGGGCTATATCTCGCCATTCCCTCCTAGCCTGTAGGGTTTCTGATTTGAAGTCAGCTGTGTGTCTAATTGGAGATCCTCTGAAAGTAATCTGATGTTTCTCTCTTGCACATTTTAGGATCTTTTCTTTATGTTTCACTGTGGTGAGTTTGATTACAATGTGTCGTGGTTTGGATCTCTTTTGGTCATGTTTATTAGGGGTTCTATGAGCTTCCTGTACTAGGATGTATCTGTCCTTCTCCAAACCGGGAAATTTTCTGTTAGTATCTTACTACAAAGGCCTTCTAATCCTTCCTGTCTCTCCATGCTTTCAGGAACTCCTAGAACCCGAATGTTGAGTTTTTTAATAGTATCCTGTAGATTCTCGACAATACTTTTAGATTTCTAATTTCCTCTTCTTTTCTTTGGTTTGACTGTATACTTTCCTGTTCTCTGCCTTCTAAGTGCGATATTCTCTCTCTTCTGTTTCACCGACTCTGTTTTTAAGGCTCTCTAATGTGTTTGTCATTTGATCTATTGAATTCTTCATTTCATTATGATTTTGCTTCACTATCACAGTTTCATATTCTACTAGTTGCTTCATTTCATTTTCATTCCTCCTTAAGATTTCATTTTCATGAGAGATTTTCTATCCTGTCCAGTAAGGATTTCTGTAATTCAAGAATTTGTTTTTGAGAACTTCTTAATGTTCTTATTAATTTTTTGCAATCCATTTCTTGCATTTCTTCTATCTCATCATCTTCATAATCTTGAATTGGGGTGTCGTGTTCATTTGGCGGCACCATAGTGTCTTCCTTGCTCTTGTTTCCTTGGTTTATGCATTTGTTGCTTGGCATTGTGGAGATATTCTTTGGATTCTTTGCTGTAGTGGTTTTTCTCATTATACTATAACTCTAGAGTAAGTGGAGTGTCTGCTTTTGATGGATCCTTAGAGGCATGAGATGGGTGTGGCCAGAGAGCTCTGTTTGGTTCTTCAGGGTTAAGGGTGTGCCATAGGTGACTCACCCAGCTTGTTCTCTCTCTCTCTCTCTCTCTCTCTCTCTCTCCCTATTTAACCAGAAGGGAAGTAATTCTGCACAGCTGGGCAGAACTGAGGGTAAATAATGTATGAAATCTGGCCCCTGTGGGTATAATATTTGTCTGCTCTGCCCCAAGGACCACACAAAGGGTCTATGCAGTCCTCCGTGAGATATCAAATTTCCCTGCAGTCTCCCACCGGGTTGCCAAGGTTACCAAGTTTGTGTACTCCGTGAGTTCTCTCCCACACCCTCAGACTTTCACAGGCTCAGTTCATTGGCTTCACACCTTCACTAGGTCCTAATGTCCTGTTATTTCTCCCCACAAGAGTCAGGTTTTTCTGCTTGGTTGATGGCAGGTGCCACTTTATGCATGACCAAAATGGCACCTGCTGTTTGTCTTGCTTGCCTTTGTAAGCTGAGTGGAGAGAGAGGCTTGTGTCCATGCCAGTCCCTTTTATTTATTTATTATTTTCTCTGCTCTAGTTAGCCTGGTGAACTTTCCCCAGCAGGGCTTCAAGCCTCGTTCCCTCTCAGCTCTGTCATTTCCCCACCAATGTCTTGGGCTACAAAGGTTTCACCTCACCTCACCTTCCAGCGCTGGTGTGTAGACTCCACGGCTGGGCTCCCGAGCCATGGGCATCCTTGCTCTCCCCACAGGTCCTCCAAGTCACATCCACTAGATCTGGAAGCTTCCTCTGCATTTTTTCCCTGAGCCTTTCCCCAAAACTACAGTAACTCCACTTTTATTAAACTATCTTTCCCCAGACTATCAGTGCATGCCCTCACTATTCCACCATCTTAATAACTCTGGTCCTCCTCCTTATGCCATTTTGAGGAGTATCTGACCTGTGGGCCTCATGGCTGCTGGTGTTGATTAGGTCATGGATGTAACGGCGCTGTTGTACCTGAGGACTAGCCAGGAAGTGTGGATGCTCATCATGCCAGGTGGGGAACTGTCCATCTTGTGGGCACCATGGCAGGTGTCTAGCCCTGATGACTGGTCACCATTGTGCAGCACTGGGGACATGGCACTGGTTTTGAGACTGGGCATCAGGGAGGTTGCTTTATGGCTCATCTCAAAGCCCAGCTCCACCAGGTAGTTTTGAACCTCAGCATCCCAAGGAGATCCTAGAGGCTCCACTTCAGTGAGCTCAGTTCTTGCTGCTCCACTGAAGCCCTCCTGGTATTTCCCACAGCCCAGTGCAGGGGACAAGTGGCCATCGTTCTCCTCACGGCACAGCTTGAAGACAAGGCTTGGCAGGTATTTCTGACTTTCAGCTCCTTGGGAAGAACCTAGGATCCCCATGGAAGTTTCCTTTTCTCTGTGTCTTCTGTAAGCCTTCAGCTGGGATTTTCCCCAGCATTAGATGGGGGACAAGGGGCTGTCCTGTTCTTTAAGGCCCTCCTGAGAAACCAGGCTCTCCACACTTTCACTGATTTCCTCGAACTTAGAACTCAGAGACTGTTCAGGTGTGTCTTCACTTGGTTTGGGCCCTTTCTGCTCCATGCAGAGCTACTTGTGGCCCATAGCATCTGCCACTGTGGGCCTCTCAGCAGGGTCACAGGTCACTAACAAATCCAGCATCTCTCCAGTTCCCCACTTACATAGGAGGGGATTATGTAAGAGCCAGCCAGATGGCTTCCTTCAGGTACACAAAGCTCTCCCCTTCAAAGGGCAGCCACCCTCTCAACATGGTGTACAGGACCACACCTAGACTCCACACATCGGCCTTATACCCATTGAACTCCTTATCTAGGAACTCTTCTGGGGAGCAGTATTCAAGGTTCCCACACAATGACTTTATTTGTTGGCCTTCAGTCAGTTTTTGGCTAAAGCTAAAGTCAGTTAGCTTAACAGATACTTTATCGTCCACAAGAAAATTTTCCAATGTTAAATCTCTGTGAACAATGTGCTACTTATGGCAGTACTCTACTGCTGATAATGTCTGGCTGAAATACCAACATGTTTCTCCTTCCTGAAGGTGGCCATGTGCTACCATATACTTTTCAAGGTCTCCCCCTGCTAAAATATTCCATGAAAAGATAGGCTTTCTATGCTGTGTAGTTTACCTGTAACAGTTTTATAATGTTAGGGTGATGCAGAGAATTCATAATTTCTGCTTCTAATCTTGCTTGCGGGAACTCAGAGGAATCCCCATCACCTCTGGCACTGATTTTCACAGCCACCTTGGTCCCGCTCTCAGATGGAGGGCTAGCTTCACCTGGTCAAAGTTGCCCTTGCCAATGGTTCTAAGGATCTCATATCTACGGAATACCTCCTTTTCAGTGTGGGAGGATTTGATGACTTTCATCATGGGGATGTCTCCTGTACCTACAGTACTGGGACACTAGGAACACTAGCTAGTTACCTACACTAACTATGGTAACATGATATTCCAATGAGAAAGCAACAGATAAATCCAATGGAGAGCAACAGATAAATGGTGCTGGGCTGGTGGGAATCAGCAATTTTGCACAGGAAGCTTTGGGAGATGTTGTTTATGGCAGTCTGTCTGTAGATGGGACAAAACTGTAACAAGATGAGTTTGGTGCTTTGGAAAGTGTGAAACTTGACCGTGTACAATATCTATTTTCCTGTATCAGATGTAACAGAAAATTTACAAGCCCTAGTATAAAACCCAGGACTTGTCAACATATCTTGTTATGCACATGGCTGCTGATCAAGATGACACTGGCCGGCGCCGTGGCTCAATAGGCTAATCCTCCACCTTGCGGCGCCGGCACACCGGGTTCTAGTCCCGGTTGGGGCGCCGGATTCTGTCCCGGTTGCCCCTCTTCCAGGCCAGCTCTCTGCTATGGCCAGGGAGTGCAGTGGAGGATGGCCCAGGTGCTTGGGCCCTGCACCCCATGGGAGACCAGGAAAAGCACCTGGCTCCTGGCTCCTGCCAGGATCAGCGCGGTGCGCCGGCTGCAGCGGCGGCCATTGGAGGGTGAACCAGCGGCAAAGGAAGACCTTTCTCTCTGTCTCTCTCTCACTGTCCACTCTGCCTGTCAAAAAAAAAAAAAAAAAAAAAAAAAAGATGACACTGAATAACCCTTCAGAGCTAGATGAATGAATGAGGAGAGAAGCCTGAGAAATGTAAAAAAAAAAACTGAGGAGTAAAGCACAACCCCTCAAATGAGATAGCATGGAATAATTTAATCCAGTGCAGTTCTCTTGAATTAGTGGCTGGCAGAAGACTTAAAATAGAAATTTTTAGGATTATGTATGGGAAAAGATACTACTTGTAAATCTGTTACTGGGAGAAATTATCCTTAACTCTTTCATAATTGCAAATACATACAGTATTCATCCTAAACAAAACATGGATCTTTTTCATAGTACTCTGTGATTTTTTTACACTAGACTCTAGTATTGAGAATTTATGAAATTATCTGTGGTAAAACAAGCAGTTATACATATCACATGACTCAAGGATATCATTGCTATGTTAAGCCTTATAGAAAATTGTAGCTTGCTGATATCCATCTCTGGATTGAAGTAAAAATATGTAATGATTTTTGCACTGGAAATAACTGGAGCTCTGTCTCTCTCTTATGCTCTCCTTCTGCCTCTTTTCCTTCTTCACCCCTTCCCTCCAGTCTGTTGGCTTTCCCAAAATATACTCTTTCCCTTACTCTGGTGTTTGGTGTGTTTTGTGATGGCCTTATATTGGTGCTGTGACTCAGATCCAGGCTCCTCCAGTGACTTCGCTCTCCCTTCAGGGATCTTGGAGCTTCTCTACGGTCCTGGATTTCTGCCAGTCACAAAACACACCCCTTGAACTCCTTCCACACCACTGAATGCTCCATGATCTCCAACAACACACCGGCCTTCCAAATTCTGAGATAAGATGCGGAATGGAAAATTCTCCTGGTGACTTCTACTTCAAGTTGTGGTCCTACTCTGGTCTACATCTGTCTGAAAGTCCTCATACTGGGCACCAACCACAACTCCCAAAGGCTTTTAGTCTCTATGGACACTATCTCCAGGCAACAGTGGGTGTGGGTGACTACTCAACCTCCTGTTTCTCTTCTACAGGCTAAGCCCTGGGTGCCAGTGGGTGCTTTGGTGATGACCCCGCCCTATGCTCCCATATCCCCTCATTAATCAGATGACCAGGATTTCAAGGATGCTCAATATCCACCGATCTGACTCTATTAAGATGCAATGGGAATGTTCTCTTAACACATTGTGTCTGATTCTCCTCTTGGTAGCCTTCTATGTAATATGGTCCCTCTCAAATTGGCTCCAGCACACAAATGTCAATGCCTCATCTTTCTCTGTAATGGAGCATGGCCCATGTATGACTTTAACAGTCAATCAAAGTGGCCCCTCTAAGGTATGTTTGACCCTGATAGCATTCAAGATCTTTATCACTTCTGTGAGTGTTTGGGAAAATGGAAGGAGATCTCATATGCTCAAGCTTTTTCTATCTTTAATCTAAACCTTCTATGTGTACTTCCTGCTCTCCATCTCAGGTCCTACTGGCCTACAAGTTTTCCACTAGAGGTCAAAGGCTTGAGCCAAAATATCTGCCTCCTACATTTGCAGCCCCAACTCTTTACTATCTGGCTCACTGTACCTCCCTCTCCCACCCAGGAATTCCAACTTTATCTTAGAACCAGGCCTGGTCCAAAGCCTACTCTCCCTGTCTTATCAATGATCCTCCAGCAAGTTTGGGAATGGCTATCTCCATGCTTTCACTCATCAGCTCTTGTCCTCCAACTAGTCTTTTACCCCAGCCTCTCTTGTTGCAGTTTTACCATAAGAATAGCAAGGGATTGGTAATCCCATCCTTTTGAGCTCCTTGCTTATTGAAAAACAAATTAGGTATCTCACCCTTCTGCTGACTCCTTTGTTTTATCATGAGCAAGCCAGACAGGAAAATCAGGTGTTTTGACCTCCACTTCTTGCCTCTGGCCCAGCATCACCATTGGGAACTGTCTTGCAGCTGCCTGAACCTTTTTTTCAGAGGCAATTCCAAGTGGTTGACTATGACATCATGGGCCTAACGTGTTTTTGATATAAAAAAAAGCAACTATAATTAGACACTGAGTTTGAAGAAATTTCTTTCTTCAATCTAGGAAGATCACTACTTTGTAACTTGCTTAAACTTTGCAATTTATTTTAACAGGTTTCCAGGAAACCATTTCTCAATAAAACAGCAATGGGTAATTAGCAATTGTTTTATATGCATGCAATTTTAATTTTAATTGAATTCAGAGATATAATATCAGCATCTTAAGTCATTTAGGTGTAACTGCTAATTTAAATTGGGTAAAGGCAAATGAGATAAATGCATCTAAATATAAATTTTGGTAATCAGCATGTTATACTCTATAGAAAAGATATTTGGGTTGGTTTAACAAACATGTTTTCATACACTGTCCATAAAAATAGTACAACACTGCTTAAAGTAACCCAGGCTGAAGTTTGATTTAAAAATGTTGTCTTAATTTGGAGATTTTTAACAGGCTATTTCAAAATGTAAATCAAGGATATTGGCAGATAGAACACATCACAAGCATAGAAATGTGCACTTGGTAAGAAAGGTTAAGAAGGAAAGAGTGTTCTTGCTAAGGAAGGTTAAGAAGGAAAGAGTTTTTTTGAATAAAGAAAGGACACGGTTTGCAAGAATTACTTCATCCTGATGGCTAGTTTACTCTGGAATGGAAATGATAGAATGTTTCAAGTAATTTGAAGAGGGTGTGTGGAAGTCACAGAAGGTTATAAAAGAAAGAAATTTTGGACACAAAAGCTATTATTTTCCTATGACATAGAATCTGATCCTCTGTTAAAGTAGTCTATTATGTTCTCTTGATGTCTCTGTTAAATTCTAATTATTTATAAACAGCTGAGTTTTTATTAAGAGCTATGGGTTATTTAAATATATACTTATTCTAAAACATTTGGATAATAACCTTTTAACAGATCAAATTTGGATATATTATTTCATGATATTTTTAAACTTTTATTTAGTAAATATAAATTTCCAAAGTACAGTTTATGGATTACAATGGCTTTTTTCCCCCCATAACTTCCCTCCCACCCACAATTCTCCCATCTCCTGCTCCCTCTCTCAGTCCATTTACATCAAGATTCATTTTCAATTCTCTTTATATACAGAAGATCAATTTAGTAGATATTAAGTAAAGATTTCATCAGTTTGCACCCACACAGAACATAAAGTGTAAAATACTGTTTGAGTACTAGTTATAGCATTTTTAAGGGATCCTATTTCAACGAGATATTTTGGATTTTGAGACTTCTTGGCATCCTTGACAGGCATTCAAAAAATCAAAATTTCAAAAATCTAGACTTTGACAATTTCCAGATGGGCCCCTGGAAATTGTCAAAGACACATCTCTCATTTTGTAGAGACACCAACTAATCAGGGTATTTGGATTATGTTAGAAGTACTGTCAAGATGTGAAGTGGTGCTAAATTTCAAGTTTTTATAATATAAAATGCTACTGATACAAATGTCTGAAAGCTAAAAAGCTAATGATCTTGTGTTACTAGATATGACGGTTATCTTAATGAGAAAGGCCCAGAGGCCTAAAGGGTTAAATGTTTTGTAAAATTGTACAGGTGCTTTAGAAAATACTGTGTGAAGTAAGTAAGTGCCTCTTGTTGATTAATGAGTTTATAACTTTAAACACAGCTATTTGAAGTCTTATCATCTACAGATTTGTATCTCAGATTTTCTTCTCATAAAACTAAAACATTGTTAGTTTTGTGTTTAGCTGTCCTCCTATAGGTTCTGATGGACTTTTTCCAGCCACTTCTATTGTATTCAGTACTTTGGGATAGCTCTGTAAACAGATGAAGCCAATAATGCACTACAGGTTCCAACTGAGAGAAACTATGGTTAAATCAGGTTACTAACAGCAGAAAGTAATTTGAATTAATTGGTAATTTAAAAAGAGTTTAAAAAGCTATTATTTAAACTGCTTTATTATTCTATCTTTTATGTTATGTTATATGTGTATACCTATTGTATGTCTACTGGGAAATTTATTAAGATCTTTATTTTAATTGTCTCATAGATAAAAGATTGCACATAAATTTAAACTGCTGAAGTTAAAGATATATTTTAATTCATGTGATCTGAATCTCTCTATCAGATGTTTTAAATCTGTTGGTAGAAACTAAAATTGTTTTATATGTTTTTGCTTGAGTTTTCTGGTTAAACAAGCTACACCATGTTAGATATTTAAGAAATTTTTCCAAACACATGTATTCTTAAAATTTATAGAAGGCATTTGACCTTCTGGTAAATGTTTTCTTAAGTTGTTATTTAATGGTTGAAATTGCTTTCTAAGTTTTCATTTGTTATTGCTATTGTCAGTAAGTGATCTGGGACTTGCTCCCTCATTTCTCTATTCTAAGCCTAGCTTTTCCCCTCATTTCTCTATTCTCTTCAAGGAAGGAAACTGACTACAATGAACGACTCTCTAGGATGCACAATTTGATCTTTACATCTTATAAAAGGGATGACTAACATTTTCTGTAATAGCATAGCCAAAATAAGATCATAAATTATAATTTTACAGCTAGATTTACCTGGCCATGGGCACAGTAAACAGGCAAAACCTCCTTTTCAGACCAAAGGGAGAGAATGTTTTAAGTGAGGACATAACTTTCCTCATGGGCATTGTCTACCTCAGAAAAAACACTATCAGAGCATGCCTGTGACTATATACTTCAGTTTAGGCAACTGAATATTAGAGATGGGACTTGAGCACCCCCTTGACTTGCATCCTCTGGTCTGCTTTAACAAAAACCAGGAGGAAAAGAACGCCAGGCATCAGAAGTGATGTAAACATAGGTGGCAGGCCAATAATGGCTTCTTTATACAGTGATCTGCTATCAAAAAGACCCAACATACCAGTCCACTGCATTGGTTTTCAATATGGAAATCAAGGGCTTCAGCAGAAGTCAGCTTATGAAGAGCCCTGGCAGCTCTGCCAGCCAAGAGTTGGATCACTGCAAGTGGAGATGCCCTGGAGTCGAAGGACGTCCAGGTCAGGGCCACAGATCTTGTTGGCTCTAAGCTGAAAAATTCTTCTCTCAGTCTGGCTTCCAAAGTAACCACTGCTGCAGAGGAGACAGCCAAGTAGGGTCCGTAACATTACAGGCAGAACTGTAAATTTCCTGTTAAGAGATGCCACCTACCTTTACCTGCTCAGCTCTCCTCCCAGGCCAGCTAGGTAATGGAAGTCAACAGGGTGCCTTCCCCAAAAGGTTCACACCTCCATTAGGATGTACCTCATGTGAAGAGATAGATATGTCTGGGCCTCCTAACTGACAAGACCTTAAAGCCCACCATATTGTTATCAAGCCCTTCTGTCAGTTTCTATTTGCCTCTCAACTGGACAATTTAGTCGTGGTTTAGGCAGCAGCTCTCTTAGGTTCTCCAATAATGACTCTGTCTTTTGTTCTAGACCCTATATAGCCCATCTGGGGCCTCATTTCTTTGTAATCATAGCCTCTACTCTAATATCACTGGCTCTACTTCTGACCTGCATGTATTGATGGTCCTCTCCCCCACTTAATGTTATGTGATTGTTCAAAATTTCTCTACAGAAGAACTCCTCTACCTGCAAATGTTGAGTGGCCTTTCTCCTGGTCTTGGTTGGGATCAACTTTTAACCACATCCATCAAATAGTCCTCACAATGGTCCAAGACCCCCACCCCCACCCCCATTTCCACTCCTGTATGAAATCCTCTCATTACCTGCCATTTTTAGGATCATTGGTTGCTATTCTCATACTGTCTTTTATACTACCATGTTTGCTTAAGTGTTTACAGGAGTTGATAATGGAATGAACCAAGGCCTTCAGCAACCAGGTGGTCAGCCAAATGCTGCTACAAGGATATACTTTGCTCCCCTCCCAGGAGACAGTGGCTTGAGACATCACCCCATGCCAGCGAAGAGTACCTCGTCGCCCCATGTCAGCAGGAAGTAGCTCTAAAGACAGATCATCGTCCCTCTACCCCTCCTGGACTCTGGGGGCTAATGTAATCCCATACAACTCCTGCTTTATAAAAAAAGGGGGGAATGTTAGTAAAATGGTGCAGTCTTATCTATGGCACAATCTACACCTTGACACCATCCTAGGCCCTAGCCCATGCCACCATTGCTGGAAGCCAGGTAGCCACATTGCCCAACCATCAGTGTCAACCCCAACCCCATCCTAATGGGATTCGCTGCTCCTACTTCCCTGCCCACCCCTGACAAAGTTTGAAAGGGACTTGTTCCTGAACATGTGGCTCTCTCTCTTCATCTCTTCATCTCTGTCTCTCTCTGTCTCTCTTACACTCACTTTCTGCCACTTTTACTTCTTTGCCTCTTCCCTCCAGTCTGTCAGGTTTCCTCCAATAAACTATTTCCTTTTTTTAAAAAAAGGAAATAACTGGAAACAGAGAAAGGATTTTGCTAGTTTTATAGTGTCAGAGAACAATGCCATATTAACTTTTCAATAGATTGTCTTTGATAGTGGTATTTCATACAGTGATGCAACAATTCTGCAGCAAAATAAAATTTTCAACTTATTAAAAAATAAATAAATGGGGGCTGGCATTGTGGCATAATGAGTTGAGCTACAGCCTAGAATGCTGGCATCCCATATGGTCACTGGTTAGAGTCCAAGCTGCTCCATTTCCAGAAATCAGTGGAAGATGGACCAAGTGCTTGTGCCCTAGCACTCACATGGGAGACCTGGTAGTAGCTCCTGGCTCCTGGCTTTGGGCTGGCCCAGCCTTGGCCATTGCAGCCATCTGGGGAGTGAACCAGCAGGTGGAAGATCTCTGTCTCTCCCTCACTCTCTGTAACTTTGCCTTTCTAAAGAATTTTTTTAAATGATAGTTATAGATAAACTGGGTTTCTATAAGCAAAAGAATGGAATTGGATCATTGTACTATACACAACAACTCAAAATGAATATAAGAACTGAAATTGTAAAATTCCTAGGAAAGAATGTAGAAGGAAAGCTCCAAAATCC